TGATAAGATATTGGGGTTATGAAAGAGCGAGAATTGAGGAAGGATATATTGATGAAGCCGAAAGACTAGAAAAGCAAAGTCAAACCTACTTAAAAGAAATTGAAGCAGCCAAATTCCACGAACAAAGAGGCAAAATTAATTGTGAATGTTATCGGTGTGTGGAAAGTAAGAGAATACAGGGGGAGATTAAAGCACAATTACTCAAAGAAGACAAAACCAAAAAAGAACAATGTCTGGAATGTAAAAAATGGGTTAAGGAATTGGATGAGGAAGCAGGAGTATGTAAAGGTTGTAAGAGGGAGTATGAATAATAAGTCTTTTTATTGATTATTTTGTTTGAACATTGCTTAATAATTTGTTTGTCTTATAGTTTTATAGCGAATTGATTAATTTCTTATTTTTTCCTTTACTCTCTCCTATCTTTTGCCCTTTAAAAAAAGTAGCAAAAAAAATTATTTCTGGGTTGTGTTTTGCGTTCTTTATTCTTTTGGTAATATTCCTTATCTATTTGTTGTTTGGATTTTGGTGGGGTCTTGTTGTATGAAATACTATTTAAAATAGTATTATTAGGGGTTTGCTTTGGCTTTATAGGTCTTTTTACCATATATTATGTTTTTATTATTCCGATTATTCCGAGTGAGATAATTTGGGCTAAAATAAAAAACAGTATAAATAATTCATATGGTAAACGCACAGACTTGATTAAAAGAAAGTTATCCTAAAAGCGAAAGATACTTACAAAAGAAAGAAAAAGAAAAGGAACAATTAAATAAATATTACCAAGCCACCAACATTAAAATCTTATTAACTCTTAAAGACTATACCGAATTAAACCAGCAAAAAAGGAAATTATGACTAGAATTTACTGCTACTCTTCACCAGTTAAGCCAGGGAATAACTACCATTGAGGAAATTATGAGATTAAGAGAAAGTGCGGACAACTTAATTAGGGATTATCGAGAGACTGCTAAAAAAGAAATCAAAAAAGGTAAAAATTGAAATCTTTTAGACTACGATCAGCAGCAGAAATTAATAAGATATTGAGGTTATGAAAAGGCAAGGATAGAAAATAACTATATCAACGAAGCCGAAAGACTAGAAAAACAATCCCAATCCTACTTAAAAGAAATTGAATCAGCCAAATTTCACGAACAAAGAGGCAAAATTAATTGTGAATGTTATCGGTGTGCGGAAAGCAAGAAAATTCAGACTGAAATAAAAGCCGAAAGAGAAAAAATCATGGATGACTGCAAAAAAGAGCAAAAGACAGATAAAGAACAATGTCCCGAATGTAAAAAATGAGTAAAGGAGTTGGATGAGGAAGCGGGAGTGTGTAAGAAATGTAAAAAGAAGTATGAATAACCAGTAATATGCCTTTTTGCTGGTTTCACTCCTATAATTCACCAAAATTTATATAACTATGATCATCACTTTTGCGGACAAAGAAACCGAAAAGCTATGGCACTGAAAGAAAAATCCTAAATTCGGTGATATCGCTAGCCGAGCCTTACGCAAGTTAGAGTTATTAGACGCGGTTCCTAATTTACAAGAATTAAAAAAAATTCCCGGTTTAGATTTGCACCCTCTTAAAGGCGACCGACAGGGCCAACATGCCATTAAAGTAAATGACCAATTTAGAGTCTGTTTTATCTGAGGTCAAGACAACAACGCTTATAAAGTAGAAGTCACTGATTATCACTAAAATTTTAAATAATACTCAACATTATGACTAACTACCAAAAAATCAAGCCTATTCATCCAGGAGAAATAATCCGCGAAGAATTTATGCTGCCTCTACACTTAACTAGTGAAAAGTTGGCCCAAGATATAAAACTAGCCCCCCAAGAAGTAGAAGCAGTCATCCAAGAAAAAAAAGACCTTAACATGGACTTAATTTGCCGTTTAAGTGCTTATTTTGACCTCCCGGTAGAATTCTGGTGAAATCTCCAAAAGCGTTATGAATTAGGAACTAGCATCTGACAAGAAGAACTAACTAAAAAGCAAAAAGTAATCAAACCTTATCGAGAACTTTATCGGATTTAGATCATAACCTTTCCCTTTACCTTTTCCCTTAAAAATCACTCATTATTTCTCACTCCTATACTTTGATAGTTAATTATTAATTCCTTCATTTTTCCCCTTTTTTTTCTTCTATCTCCCCCCCTCTTCAAAAAAAAGTAGCAAAAAAAAATTTTTTTTATACTTCGTATAAATATCACATGTTTATTTTCTAAGACTTTTTTTGAACCCTTAACCGACCTTTTTAACCCTGTTTTTTAAGGATAAGGAAAGACTTTTTGCTTTTTTTTTTTTTTTTTTTTTTTTTTTTAGAAATAAAAGGTAAAAATGAGGAGGGAAAACCTTCATTTTAAGGGGATTTTGGGCTTGGAAAGAACTAAAAATGGAGGGGAATGGGCGAAAAGGAGCCAAAATGGGGAAATTTTTCTTTGGTTCTTTCTTTTGTATTAATTATTAGGGGGAGTAAAAACTCCCCTTATTCAACAACTAGCAAATAGAAACTTATTTTTTTCTGACATAAAAATTAGGATTTCCAACGCTTCATTGCCTCAATTCTAGCCTCATATTCTCTTCTTTCTTCCTCCTTTCTAATTTCTTCTGCTTCTCTTCGACGACGCTCTTCTTCATCTCTGCGTCGTTGTTCCTCATATTCATATCTACGGCGTGCTTCCATCTCATCTCTTCTTCCATCATCATCCTTCTACTCTCCATTTCTCTCTCCATTGCCATTCTTTTCTGTCTTTCCTCTAATTCCATCATTTTCCGCCTTTGTTCCTGTTCTTGTTCCATTTTTTTTCTTTCTTCATCATTTATCTCTCGCGTTTCTCTTGACTTTCTCGAATTAATTTCTTCTTGTTGTTTTTGCATTTCTTTTAATAGTTCTTGAATACTTTTCATACTTTTAAAATATTTATTGAATTTATTTTGTTTTTATTGCTATTTTAATAACTGCTCTATATATGCTTCCATTAGTCGCTGAGAAGCATTTTTTTTTATTTGACTTTGCCTTTTATGCTCATCAAGTTCTCGTTTTTTCTCCGCCAACTCTCTATTCAACCGATTTATTTTTTCTTGACCGCTAGAATTAATTTTTCTTTCACTAGTTAAATTATTACTATTTAACATTTCTTCATCGAGTTTTTTTTGTTTATTAACTATCTGCTCTTGTAATTGTCTTTCTCTTTGTAATTCCTTTTCAAAAAGAATATCCCGGTCTTTTCTTTCTTTTTCAATCCGAGCAAGAGTTTCCTGCTTTCTTCTTTGCTGCTCCTGTATTTGCCGGTTCATTTGCTCTAACTCTCGGGCATAACTCTGATTTCTCATGCGACATCATTCTTCAAAATTGTAAGTTTTAGCATTACGAACTTCACAATTATAATCATTTTTCCCACATGACGAGCAATAAACATAATGAATACTGTCCTCAAAATCATCAGGGTCAGGACGATTTCCATACTTGTTATAGGCAGTCACATTACTATGTCCGCGAGAGCAAACCGCTTCACCAACTCTAACCTTCTTATTTTTAAACTCTGACTCTATTCGATTTACTTCGGCTTGTCTTCTCTTTTCGGCTTCAACCTGTTCTTGCTCGTATCTCTGTTGAGAATTTTTGAGTTG